TCCGGCCAAGTACCACTTAAGTGGTACTTGAATACTGTCCCCACCCCCTGTTCGGCTCTCTTTCCTTTTAACCACCTTCTCCCACAATGCTTCCCCCCCACCTCTGCATCAAGAGACAGCTGTTTCAAGAGCTACTTGCTATTGCCCCCTCCCCCTCTGGTTCGATTGCAGCTGTCACCGTCGCTGACCTCAAACGTTTGCAATTCACTCCCTCTTTCCGGCACAGAATTGCCTCTGTTTACGTCCGCCCCACTGTCTCTGGTTCCCGCACCGTGTCCTTATTCACTCCCTCGTTCTTTAATTCTTGCCCCGTGTGCCCCTTATAAACTAGCAGCAACGCGTCTGTGTCATTCACGACTGATCGTCTAAGCACCTCGAAAGTACGTCCACCCTCTCTTTGTTTTCTACTTCGCATTTTTCTACCTATTGTGCACTGTTAATTTTACTGTTTATTTCTGCAGGACCACACTGAGTTGCCCTGACTGTCCCTTGACAGAAAGAATATCTGAATTATCCCGACTGCCTTTTGACATAGCCTCTGACCTCGGATGCGTCTATTCAGGTGAAGAAAAGTAGCACTGCAAAACGAAAAGGCCAATAATATTTGCAATTATTCGAGTTGCCTGACTGCCCTTCGACATAACTTCTGGCCTCGGAAACACTGCAGTATGAAAAGACAACCAGTATTAACAGACGTGAACAAAAACCATTTCCACAGTAGGATCATATGCCTTTCAAAATGTATAGAATTCTTTAGAGAGAGAACTCCCATGAAGGATTAGCTATCACCACACACAAACAAGATTTTGTAAAAAAAATTCCAAGCCAGAGAGAATTTTGCTCCTTTTCACCCAGCTCTGCGCTACGACCTGTAGGTCTACAGACAGCATTCTCGTAAATTCTACTTTTTGTTTACAGTCGTTAATCCATTTTATAGCCGTCGCGAATTCAGAAGAAAAATATGCGCTTCTGGTTGGCTTCGTTTAACTTAACACCAACAGTTTGTTTCGGGTATTGCCTTTGTGCAACTGTTTTGACAAATTGCGCTCCGGCTTATAAACCATCAATTTCAGTCGCAGCGCACGTGCCTTATACTGGTCCAACCTCATCTTAAACGTCTCCACAGATGGGGACATGACAATGTCTGCGGGCAGAACATTCCATGTCTGGATTACTATCTTAGAGAAGAAGAATTTTCGTGTGTTCAATCTTGCCCCAGTCACACGTA